CTTTCGCTGTTCATCCCCAGGCACCTTTGGGAAGTTCCACGCTCTACCTAGCTCTCTAAATTACCAGAAACAACCTCAAGACACTATAATGTGTAGAATGAAGTCCCAGTGACTCATATCCTCCACCCAGGACCTTCTCAGCTTTGCCAGCCACCAGAACGAGAACCAAAAGTGCATTAGAGGAGGCCCTAGTACCACCTCAAATCCCACAAGTCCCCAGAAGTTATATCCAACATCAAGTAAATATTGATGATCACAAAGTGAGAGAGAGGAATAACACATAGCAAAGCCCCCAGCAATAGTAGAGCAAACCCAAAACAAACATTGGAGAGAAAGATAATCGAAGCAAAACCTCAGAGGAAAAGCTCATAACCGGGAGAAAACAAAACCCCAGAACCAAGCCACAAAGACAAGGAAGAGCTTTTTTTACTGATGAGACATAAAATTCAAAATGACTATGACTTTGGTCCTTCCTGGTGGTGCAGCAGGTTAAAGCACAGCACTGAGAAGCTAAAGCCTCTTCCGCATGAGTTCGATTCCCGCCTGCCCCAGAGGTGACTACATGGTGCGGCAGACCTCTCCTGACCCACCCGCTGCTCCCCTCAGCAGTGTACTTCATCTATCTGCCTGTTCTGTTCCCCACTCTGTCTCTGGTGAAGCCTCTCGCCGTCCCTGAACCTCTGGCCTGTACCCCAGTTCTGTATGCACAAATAAATAAATCTTAAAAAAAAAAAAAAAGACTATGACTTAAAAAAAATGGGACAATACATTGAAAAATCAGAGAAATAGATGGTAGGTATACAAGAAAGCAAAATGAATGTCATGAGAAACACAATCAACAAATAGAAGATCGAAATCAAAACTTTAGACAAAAAAGTTTTGGGATATAAAAAGATCAAAAAGAAAATAAAAAAATTCAGGAGAAAGCAGTGGAAGTAGAATGAGCCAAGTGGAAGAATGAGTCACTAATTTGAAGATGAAAATGAGGAAAGAAATAAGATAGGAAAAGAAAGAGAGATGTAAAGGAAAAGAAATGAAAACACACACACACATTGAGAAGTATCGGATACCATGAGGAAAGGAAATATATGGATCATAGGAATACCAGAAGAGAGAAGGGTACTGAGAAACTATTTAAATAAATAAAGGAAGAAAATTTCCCAAACTTGAAGAAGGAACTGAGCGATCCAAAAAGAGGAGTGAATACCAAGAACTGAACAAGGAATTAGATAGAACCACAAAACGATGAACAAAATGGCATCACAGGCTTTTACATGCCAGTAATCATCCCAAACGTCAATGAACTGAACACATCAATAAAGACACAGAGTATCTAGTTTGATTAAGAAACCAAATCCTACCTTTAGGAAACACACTCATGCTCCATGGATAAATGGGACTGAAAACAAAGGCTGGAAAACAGCCCTTCAAGTAAATGGCAACTAAAAGAAGACATGAACAGCGACACATGTATCACACAGACTTACAGCTTAAACGGGTAACAAGAGATAGTAATGGACACTATAATGAGTAAGGGAATTAGTTATACAACAGAGCAGTCATCAAAATACACTCACCAAATGAAAGAACACCACAATACATCAGACAACTACTATCATGAAAATAGACATTGGAGAAAATATATATGTTGTTGGAGAGTTCAAAACACCAACGGACAGATCAATGAGACAGAAGATAAATAAGAACAAAAACAAATCACCCTACACAAAGAACTAGATCTCAAGGCCTTAATAGATATTTATAAGGTACTAGATCCCCCCAAAAGCTGAATACACATTTTTCTCAAGTACTTATGGGTCATTCTCCAGGATTGACCACGTACTGAGTCACAAGACAAGCATCAACAAGTTCAGGAACACTGAAATCATCCCGATTATCTTCTCTGACCATATTGGTACATAACTACAAATCAACTACAAAAAGAAAACAAGGAAATACTCTATGTGGAGACTGAACAATACTCTACTGAATGACCATGGGGTTAATGACGATATGAAGGAAGAAATCCAAAAATAACTAGAGACAGAAACTTACAACAGCAAAAGCAGGTCTAAGAGTTAGGCAATCAATGTGAGCTACAATAAGAAATTGGGAGAAATCTAAACAAACAACCTTGTTTCTGATTTCAAGGAATAGAAGAAGAACAAGAAAGTTCAAAAGCCAGTAGAAGAAAAGAAATAATAAATATTAGAGCAGAAATAAAAGAGAGTTGTAAATGATAGCCTAAAACATCAGTGAAACCAACAGCTGGTTGTTCAGAAAAATAACTAGTGAAATATTCAGTTAGGCTCACTAAGAAAAAGAGGAAGAAAATTAAACTTCAAATAAATAGGATCACAATGAAAGAAATTACAACTGACACTGCAGAAATTCAGAGCATAATAAGGTTAATAGGAACACTGATATGTAAACAAATTCGCAATGTAGATGAGATAGACAGATTCTTAGAATTGTACAATTATGTGATGAAATGGAAAAAGAGTTGTATGGGGGAAATAGACAAGGTAAAGCTACAATTTAGGTGGGAAATACTATCAATTTACCAGAACAGAAAACAAAATAAGGAAATAAACTGATGTCACAGGGAGTTTATCATATGTTGTTTAAAAGCATAATTTTTATCAATTGAATGAGTTTCCAGAGATTAAAAACCCATAAGAACTTCTTTTTATAACCTTTTATACTGTTCTCCTATAACACAAGAAGCAATAGATGACCATATAGCGTACGCATCTAAATAGTAGGGTTGTCTGTTACTTGCTGCTAAGAGTATTTCCAACTGCTACATATTCTATTAACTAGATCAGATAAGATTGTTTCAAACATTTTAATAATATCAGCTGGATCTTTGGGCAGGGAAGGAAGGAACAACCTGAAAATGAAAAATGTACAAGCAAAACAAAACAGGAGTGAGGGAGGAAGGGAGGGAGGGACAGCGGGAGAGACAGAGGGAGGGAAGGAGGGAGGTTCCTCCTTTGTAGACAGTAGAAACTAAATAACTTGTACAGCCCTCCTATTCAGTGAATTATAAATCTACAGGAGAAAAATAAAAATAACTTCAGACTCCAACATACTCTAGGGTTCTGGTTGACAATGGACAGAGGAGTTTGGAGGTCAAAGAAAGTCCAGCCATCTGTTTGAAAACTGGCTAAAATGTAGGTCACATATCCAGGATCAGAGTTAAAGACAAAGGAAAGCAGATGTTTGATGAAGTTATAAGACAAAACATGCAACTTTCTGGATCAGATTTTACATGTAATAAAAGAGCATGAAAACCAAATTAGTTTTATCATCTTTAATAATATCCTGTTTTATCCTTGTGAGTCTAGGGAGTTTCATTCCAGGAAATGAGACATTTCTTTTTTATATTTTTAGAATCCCATCTCTTACTTCTATACTTTATTATCTTTAAATTCTTAATCCCAAATATTTGATGACTGGAAGATACTGATAACTAAAGTAAGAGTAGCAAAATTCACTGAGCCTTATAGTTATTTTATTCTTTGATTTTCAAAAAGTATATTATACACCTAAAATACTTGTTCCTTGCATAATAGAATGAGAGAGAACTAAACCTAATGAAAATCATAAATTCAGAGAGAGTATGTAAGGAAAATAATGGAATCACAAGAAGTAGCAATATTATCTTTGCTGTCTTAATACAGAAACCTTTATGCAAATGAAAAGAAATTAAGGAACACCTCTACCAAACCTCCCACAACCAATCCATGCCTGAGACACCAGTTCATATGGCTGAGAATTTCTGAGATGGACAGAAGACAACAGACCCATTGAGAGATCTTGACCAGGACAATCAAGGACAAAACGACCCCTACAGCTGTCCTGTGCAAGTCAGAATTTACTGCCATCATTCATGTTTTAAAAATATAACTGAGGTTATAGGATACCAGTTTGTATTTCATGAAAGCACAGACATCAGCCATAAAAAATATTTATTGACCTTCTACTCTGGTAGTCTTCTAAGCAAAGCTGCCATTTAAATGGTCTGTTTGGACGAAAACAAAACAGAACTGTGGAGATGTCAGTAAGAACTGACAAGTAGCTTGTTTAATTTTTCTGTCCTTTCATAGCTCAAAATCAACATAAATTAGAATTTTAATGTTCCCTTCCCTCTAGATCACATCTTTTCTTCTTACCATCCAATTCTAGCCAATCATCAACTGTTTTTCTGCCTCTTTGGTCATATAATTACACTATTATAAAACAGGAATGCCCAGGAAGTTTATATACACATAATACAGTTTAAAATGCAAACATAAGCCCAAATGGCTATCAAGCAGGCAGTCCCTAAGTGGAGGCAGTTCCTATCTCCACTTATTTTATATTTATGGAGTTACCTAATTCTGACAGCTGATTAGAAACAGCAAAGTCTGTAGTCTGACAATTTGAAGACACTGTCTAGCATTGTCCTGGCACTAAAACATAAGCCTGACTCTGAAAGGGACTAAGATTGCTTCAGCTCTAAGTCCAAACACTTCACGCCAGCAAGACTGTGGCACAAGTGCATTACCATTTGTACTGATGTCAGTGGTAGGTGGTGAAATCATAAAAATCTTAAAAATTGAGTTAGTTCCTAGAAATCAGGTCACATTTCCCTCTCACTATAGGAATTTTACAACATTACCAAACAATGAAAATCTGGTCACGGGGGGACACAGGACCACCCCATGCCTTGCAAGGAAGCTCATTGTGTTTTGCAAAACATTTTTTAAAAATTTTATTCTTAAAAAGTCATACGTTTCTCTGAAACTTCGACTTAATGATTCTCATTCATTCGTTCTTTCTTTCTTTCTAAACTACTCTGTATAGTAAACTGTATTCCCAGGAAATAAAACACATCTGCCCTTATCCATCTAGGGAGACGTAGGCATGACATGGATCAAAACATGGAGCGAATCAATGTGCATTTCCTTTGCCACTAGAAGCCTCGCTTCACCCCTGATGTCAGTATGACTTACCTGAATCACACCGCCCAAGAAAGACACAGCTGCAGCAACACCAATTCTCTGCAGCTCAAAGTCAGACAATCCCAGCACACTTAAGTTACTCTGTGTAGTGAAGTTCTGGCTGCTCAGAGGGACAAGCCGTTCCACTGCCTTGGCTGATATTAGGGATGTCAAAGCAGAAGTGCCTTAAAAGTAAGGGTGTGGGAAAACTTCTATTAGTAATAGACTCAGAAGTTGTTGCCTTCCACCAAGGAGTTGAATGCATATCCTAAAAGCAAACATCTTTTAGAAACACTCTTCTCTGCACGTCTGTCCGCCACCATCATTCCATTCCATGACATATACAGAAACTTACCTGCACTTACACAGGCTCCTTTAACATACAACCACACCCATCTATTTGTTATGTGCTCTCAGGTCCTATAGGTTCCTTCCTCTCCGCAGTCCTGCATTGGGAATATCCTAGAGCAGGGAGTAAGATCGTAGCCTGGATTTGAACTTAAGCCCTCCATTTGTTACTAATGTGATTTGCAGCACATGGCTGAGTCTAAACTGCCTCATCCATAAAACAGGGCAACAAAACCTACATTTTAGGATTAAGAGCAAATATAAATGAGATGATAAATATGGAGACCTCCATAGGCTGATGGTTTACTGTTAGCTTTTGCCTGAATTTGAGATTCTTTTCTTCCTCTGCTTGCTTTTCCAATCTACCCATGCAAACACTTATCTTTCAAGGTCTCTTCAAATCTTATACCACACACAGATTCAGTCCAGATCCTCCAGACCATGTTTAATCTTTAGACTCCCTGTTCTGTCATAGCAGAGTAGACCTTATAATATAAGAACATGTTGTGACCCATAAAAATGTTTAAACATACCATTTCTGTCCACTGGTAGTTGTACAGACGGTTCGTTGGCATTTCCCAGAAAATGCCTGGCCTCACGCAAATGTGGGGCCATCTTCAATGTATTCTCTGTTTCCTGCCAAGAGTTCTGATGTCGCTCACCTTGGCAAAATGTCTAAGAATACAGGCTTGCACACAGGGAAATTCCAGTTCCCAGAGAGGGGTCAGCAATTTTGGGTTAAAGAAACAATTTGCAGTATTATGCAAATATTCCCCCAACTCATTAAAGACTGTACTTTGCTCCAGATCTTAAGTGAGAATTTGTGAAAAAGGGCCTGTAGCAAATTGTAGACATTCCAGTGAAAACATGCAGCAGCACAAGGCAAGAGAGACACGAGTCGCACAGAAAAAGGTCTCAGTGAAAACCCAAAACAGACTTCGCGGATCAGAGAGGCAGGGTGTACTGTGGTTCAGCTGTGGGCTCCAACAAGCCTGACCTGACATCTTGGCACTGCCACTTCATCTCTTATGTGGAGACATAATTATTCCTTACCCAAATGGGGCTGTTTTCAGACTTAAATACTGCGAGGTGGCATATATGACAGAATATATGGCATGTAGTTAGCACCTAAAAAATAATGCTTAATAAGACTAATGTTAACAGACTAATGTTAACTACGTTCTCCTCTGTTCTATAGAGGATGGGACCTAAATATACAGAGTCAATGGAATATCATCCTCTTAAGGAGCTATCAGTCTCGGAAAGTCATCAACCATCATGAGCACTGTCCTCCTCCTAAGGCATTTTATTAAGACCACAGTGAGAAACAAATACATCTAATAATTAGAGACAAGTTTCTGGCATCCAGGATAGGCAGTACTAAATAAAGAACATTAGCCCATGGGATCTATTGCAATAGGATTTCTGGAAGTCTGGTGCTGAGAGTAAAGAATTGTGGCTTTGAATATTTAGAGCTCCTGGGGTATAGAGCAAAACGATTTGTACAAAAACCTCTGAACAAGTGACTATGGAGTAAAAAGCAAAGGTATTCTAGCACTAATGTCTGAGTTCAGACCCATCTTTCTGAGAGTTCAAGGAATATAGGATGAAAGAACTGAATGGTAAAAGGGAGCATGTGGGCCCTCCCTAGTGGCATAGCGGGTTAGGACGTAACACTGCAAGTGAGCAGCAGCTGCTTCAATGGGCTTTTGATTCCCAACCAGGTGACCCACATGGCCCGGCAGACCTCTCCTGGCCTGCCTGCTGCTCCCCTCAATGTACTTCGACGATCTGCCTGTTCTGCTCCCCACTCTGTCTCTAGTGAATCCTCTCACCGCCCCTGAACCTCTGGCTTGTACCCCAGTTTATATGCATAAATAAGTACATCTAAAAAAAAAAAAAAAAAAAGGGAGAGTGCATCCAAAAAGGTATTGTTGAGGGAAGAAAAGTGAGGCTCACCTGTATGTGAGTCACATACCAAGATCTCTAGAGAGAGGCCTTGTTAGTGATAGACGAGGGACCCCCCACCGTGCTGACATGGACTGAGGAGGACTGCCTGGCTACAGGACGATGCTCTGCATTTCCTAAGCAGTTAAGTAAATCAAGGGCTTGGTTTGCTGATGAGGAGTATGTTATGGATGACATTTAATCTTCGCTATCTTATAGGTCTGTCCCTTGGTTTTACCTCCTCCCTACTTTTTCTCTGCATTTTCCCTCACTATCTCAAGTTTTTACCCTCTCTTGGCTTTAAACTTACTAGTGGGACTCTAAAATACCATGAAATCCATCTAATAGCTTCATAGCCCTGACTGTGGGTGGCAAGGACCAGCAGAAGTGAATGTGGGACTCAGAATTGGACATATCCAAGCTCAAATCCCAGTTGAGTTGAATATAAACTTGCGGTCTTAGTCATTACCCAATCTCTCAGCTTCCTTATTTTTATGTAGATGATAAAATTTGTATGTAGATGATAAAACTTGGGTATCAAGTAAATGAGATTTTATGTATAAAAAAATCTATCACAAATCTGACTACATAGCCTTTGTATTCTGATTTAGATAATTTTAGTATGAATTAATTACTTTTAGGGAATTCAGTACTCCATCCAACGATCTAAATTAGAGGTAAAATACTAAATAAAGTGATTATTTTTGTGAAAACAACATCAATCTCTCTTAACACTAAAAAAAAATACTAAAAGAAATAAGAATTCGTATACATAGGAACAATTAAAATAAAAATATACTCTCTTTAGTAAATATTTGCCATAAGTTTTTGGTGAGATTCAATTTTCTTTAAGATTGGAGAAAAGCAGAAAAGTAAAAAATAATTCATTGGTATATTACATATATATATATGTATATATATACACACATTTATATGGATGTATTTCCATTTATACAACTCTCTGTTTAGGAAATATTAAAAATATTATCATATTAACAGCAAGGGGAATTCATGTTGGTGATGAAATTACCATTGTTAATCAGTTGATTTTAAAGAAGGGAGAGTATACTGGATTATCCAGGTGATCCCAATGCTATGATAAGATGGAAACAAAAATACAGAATTAGAGAAAGATTTGAAAATGCTAAATGCTGCATTTCCAGCTACAGATGCAAGAAGGTGCTATAGGCCAAGGAAAGTGAGACGTCTCTAGAAAATGGAAAAGGCAATAACAAAGTTGACCCCTAGACCCCCCAAAAGGAATGTAGCCCACTGAAATCACAATTTTAGGCCAGAAAAATCCAAGGCAGATTTCTGATCTCTAAAACTGTAGAAAAAATCTTTCTTGTTTTAACTCACTGTGCTCATGGTAGCTAGTTACATTATAAATAGGGAACTAAAAAATTCACTAACACAAACTGATCATTTAAGAAAAAAGATACAAAATAGTATTACTGTTCACAGATTGAGATCTTTAAACACAAAATATTTAGAAAGTTCTCTATAGATATCTCCTTTTAAACATTTTATTACAATAATATTTGAGATTTTATTAGATCTTATCATGAATGTGTATTAAATTAGACATTTTATATCATTTCATCTATCTCACTAAATAATGGGGGGTTTTGGCTTGTACAACCAAGAAAGCTGCAAATAAAACTTTGAAATTTCTTCCAAACTCATGCAGATAGCAAACAACAAATGAGACATACACTCAGGCCTATCTCATTTCAAAACTCATGTTTTTAGCCAGACTATTCTATTATCTGATTGTCTATGACAATCACATTTTGTTTTGGCAACACAGAGCTTTTATTTGTCAATGGAAAGCTAGGCAAGTAAGAGATAATACTAATTAAAGATTGCTATTGCATCTAGCTTGGAGGAAACCTAAAGGATCATTTGGTCCAAATGTCATTTACAAGGAAAATATTTTTCAATATTTGAATAACTCAGAAACACGTGTCTTTATTTCCCACTCAAAATGATCATTTTCACTTCTTTTCACAACTTAAAATGCAAAGAATCCTTAACAAGAACTTTGGTTACACTGTAATAAAGTAATAAATCACGGTGTATATTAAGTGTCTGAAGCACAGTAATAAAGTGTCTTGACCTCATATTGGCTGAGACCTTCAGCAGTGAAGGTATAACTGCTTTGGAAGTATAATCAATAACTAACGATCACTTATGTGTTCTTTTCATTGGCAACATGAGAAGTATTCACTCATATATTAACTATACCTGTGGCAACATGACGTCCCATTCCAAATATGGCATAAATGATGACAGGAAACAGAGACCCATACAAGCCAAACACTGGATGCACAGATGACAGAATAGCAAAGGACAACCCTGTGAAGGAAACCAGGTAATTAGGATCAAATTATAGCTCCAAGATACCAACCATTACAAAGTAGAAAGGCTATTGGCCATACTCCAATGACAAAAGGAACCATAATTTAATTACTCCATTTGTTCAATGAAGCACGAGCATTAATGTCCTACATAACAGAATATTCACTCATACGTTCATACTTGTATTTCAATACTAAAGCATTACTTTTGGAATTTTCTTTATTCTCTGATTACAGAGACAATTACCAAAAAGCATTGCCTTACCTTGTCTTCCTCCTCAAGGTGATAAGATCATCACATACTATCTCTGCACACACTTAAGGAAGCATTTTCACATATATCATTGTGTTTGCAAATAATATCTGTCGGATAGGCAGGAGTAGTGGGATTACCACTGACAGATGAGAAGCCTAGTGTGAAAGTGACCAAGGTTGGGACAAAAGCGATGCACAGGCAAAAGCTGGCTAAGTGATTGTTGGCCTAAGACTGTAAATTTTGGTAGCAGGACCAACGTGTGAACCCACATACTGGACCCCAGTTTGTATTTGGGTATAATTTCTCAAGGTGAACAAAAGTCAACTTTTGTTTATTCAAAGAATAAGGAGTAACTCTTAATCATGTTACTTTTCTTCCCCTTGGATACTACTACCTACATATTTTGTATGTTACATGCTGACAGGAAATTTTCCTAGACATGTCCAAATAGCTAGGAGATTATAAGTTCATTAAAGTGATCTTGTTTGTGGCCAGTTCAGTTGATTCTGATAAATCCATTCAGATCTATATCATTTAATGATAGGATTTGACTAGGCACAATGGACTTTGTAAGTACAAACTTACAAACTTGAAGAAGTGGCATTAGAATGACCTATGTGGCCTATTCATTATTCACACTATGAAGCCTGCCAATCTTATTCCAATGTCAATGCTTTTTTTACTGTTTAATTTTCTCTGTTTAAAAGTTAAGTTTAATTTCTTTTAAAGAAATAAACTTTAGTTCTATGTCAGCTATTCTCTATCAAGGAGTATAAAATATTTTAGGTATAATTAAAATATATGAAAGGCCTCCCAATGACCAGTCTCTTTCTCCACCTTTAAAACATACAGCTGAGTGACTGGTTTCTTGGCATTGTATTCATAAAACTGTGGTAGAAATAAATAAAAAATGATTACAGAAGAATTAGTGGGAGAGGTTGCTCTAGCATTTCATATAGAGAGGCATGGAATTTCAGATGAGAGGCAATAATCTGGGTGTTTTGAAGGATGGTCATATAAGGGACAAATTTAAAGTCAGTTCACATTACAAGGTCTTTCCATTCCCCCGTCCTACCAGCAAGCCCCTCTTGGTATTTATAGGGTAAACAATTTTGTAACAGTTTTCGCACCCACTTACAGAATGTCATCTAATAAAAATTACCTATTAATAAACAGAATGCTGAGTGTTACCATGTAAGAAAACAATGTGACCCACCCATATTGTAGATTACCAGGATTCACTACATTAATGAGAGTGGGAAAAGGAAAAAACCTAAGGCATGCTTGACAAAGTACTTTGGATGAATCATAGGGACGTGAAATTCTGATAAAGGTGGTAGAAAATGTCAAGATAGGAGTTGGCCAGACATAGATTCTATGTCTATATTCCTACTTTACCTGCAACAGGCAATTTTTTTAGGACTCAGCTCATGTATGTGTAAGGAAATGGAGCTATTGATTTCCAAAAGTACAAGTGAAAAAAGAGGGGTCAACTACTTTTAGAACTGTGGTCAATTTTGGAGAACTCTGTAGAGTTCCATAAACTGGCATTTGCACAAGAAGTAATATGATTTAATTATCTCATTAGTCCCTCCAGTTCATGATACACAAGACAAAAAAATCATTTACAAAAACCAGAAACTAAACCTTCTCTCAGCTTTGCTTCTCGTTTGAAGTTCTTGGCCTCTGTTCTCAATTGGCATCAGAAATACAGAACTGTTAGAACACTCAGCATCCTTGTGCAAATTAGAAAAAAGGCCCCCTGCTGGACAAAATAACCCACCTTATTTGTAACCAGTAACTAAGGAAATGACACTCAGAAAACATCCATAATTTTCTCCTATCTTTTGCAAGGCTGGAAAGCTTTTAGTTAATTATTGCATTTTGAAAATATCCATTTCTCAAATTCATGTTAAAGCACTGTTTTTAATTTGTTTTAAGTTGCCAAACAGAAACCAAACAATGCTTTTCCGTTCTGAATGTTGAGCTCATGGATGAATTACTGCATTTGGCTGTGGTACAAGAGGAACTTTAGGATTTGAGATATTTACTTTAAAACTAGAGCTGAGATTCTGATCCTAATAAGTCATACCTTAATAAATTATGGCATTCCCCAAATAACACCCCCTCAGTAAAGATCCTTCAGTTGAATAGAAGTTAGCAAATGACTAAAAACTTAATTATTTCTTATAAGTGTCTGGTGCTTGGAAGTGGAAGAGGGAGAGAGATACTGTGAATATTGAGCATCAGAGATTTTTTTATGCATCTCAGAACTTACTCTGAGCTTAAAATTGCTAAAGATAGAAGCATTTAAAAGTCCTCATTCCAAGGAATAAAGGCTAAGTACCAATAATTCCATGAAAGAGAAGGAGTTTGGAATTCAGAGAAAATACTAACAATAAGACCCAAAGAAAGGAAATGAAATTCAGTCCTGCACTGCATTCCTTAATCTCAGATTTAAGGTTCTTACGTGTAGCCTTTTCAATGAAAATGAAAGAGCAGCTTGTCTGAACAAAGGAAATGGGAGGCAAGGAAAACCTGAGGCCCTTTTCTGGGTCAACAGTTAGAAAGAAGGGCAGCTCCTTAAGAAATAGGAAGGTGGTATGCAATTTCTTCCTCCTTCCCTCTGTTTCTCTTGCTCTCTGGCTCCTTCCTTTTTCTCTCCGACCTTCTCCTATCTTTCTCTATTTTTTAAGCTAATTTCTTATTTTCTCTGATTCATGAGGGATAGTGGGAATTTCTGGAATCTCTTAACAGTGGAACAATGGGAAGAAAAGAATCTTGAGCCATTGTACAAATGGCCTTTCAGCTTCACATTGTGTTTCCTCTTCAAATGAAGAGTCGTTTTCCCAAGAATAAGGCTGAATTGGTGCATCAGCAAATCTAAGAATGAAAACTCGTTTTTAGGTATGTGGATACACACATTTATAAAGTCAGGACTTGTGTGACATGGAGTGCCTCTGGGCAGACTGAAAGGCTGATAAAAAGGGATTCCACTTCTTATATGGCCCACCTATTTTTACCTTTTCAAGAGAAGCAAAGCCTAGACGTAACCTCACTCTATACATAGATTCCATTAAGAAAAACCTCTGGGTCCTTAGAAACCTAACCAACTTGATTAGTTCCTACTGTCACCTACTTATTGCTGAGAATATTCAATTCCAGATAGGGTGTATAAGCTTCATAGAGGGAACAAAATTTATGAGTGTTTTAAGCTGATCAAAGCTGCCCACTAGAGCTTCTAGATCTTCAGGCTAAATGAGCTTTTCCTAAATCAGATTTTACTCAAAAGGAGAACTCTAGTAAAACATTGACATTCATTGTTTCAGTTCTTCCTATTCTCCCATAGGATGAAATACCTGCCACCTATTTGCTTCCTGGGTTAACAGGTCATTAGGTCCCATAGTAAAATATTTGCTGTTATGTTATTCAACAGCTCCATTTTCTCTTCATGGTAGCAAATATGCTGCTTTCCTCCAAGAAACCATTCTTTACACTAAGATGCACGACTAAGAATAGGGGAGATGAATTCCATGCCAAACTCTTATCATGGACACATGCATCAACCTGGACATTCAGATATTTACATTCTTTTTGCCAAAATCCCTGGTTTAGACAAGCGTACAGCATTGCAAATATGGTCAATGAAATACATTATACTCATACTGGAATTGTTAGATGATTGCAAAATTACACAAGCATTATGTAAGAATCGATACCTAATGTTATATATTTGAATATCTGATATAGTAGTGAAATATAAACCACTGAATGCTTATCCATATAGAGAAAGATAAATGTTGGTACAATGATACTAAGGAATAATATGCATCTGTTAAAAAGGCTGAATTATAACCATATCCACTAGCCTGGACATATCATATATTGCTAAGATGAAAAATTCCAGGCTTACATCTTTTATACTTTGTGAAAATCTGAGAGGTTACTGGTATGTTTCAAACTTTTTCATATTGTGTAATAAGTTCATAATACCTTAAAATTCAATTATTTTGATAGAGATTTTTGAATGCAATCTGAACATGGTCCTGAATGCTAGGACTCCCATATGGAGATTATGTTTCTAATGGAAACAAAGTGACAAAGTTTGCTTTTTAAGTGATCACTGCAACAATTAGATAGAAGACACAAATTTGACAAAAAGAACAGGTAGGAAGCTACTGCTGATTCTCAGGTAGCAGTGAGAGAGAGACACATGCAGCATTTTCCAAGGAAATACAGTTTAATAAAGAACACTCCTTTATAGAACATATCAAAGGATCAAAGGTGACTGGATGTGAAGAAGAAATTACAGGAACCTGATAAAAGAGAACTGAAGTCCTTGATCAGGATGCCCATAGAGAGTGGCCAGGTTAGAGCAAGATAAGCAAAAGGTTGGTCACCTGATCAGCACCAAAATTCAATGAATGAAGGAATTGCTAGAAGCAAAGGAAAAGTATCAGAAAAGAAGCCAGGACAGTTCCAAAGAAATGTCACTCATGAAAAAGGGTGGCAATGTCCTTTGCATTTACTAATAAAAGGGTCACACGTGACTTAGAGAACTTTCTGGGGAGTGGAGGGTGTTCAAGGAAAGGATTTGAGTGGAGAGGGAAGAGGCAAGAGACATGACATCTTTCAAAAAAATCTTGTCAGTGGTCATGGAATCAAAGAAAAATTGTGCATATTTTCTTGTTAGTTTTAAAATAGAATAAACTTAACCATAGAAACAGATGGAGGTTTAATGA